CTGCCTGTCTCTGTACCAATACCAGGTAGTTTTTATCACTATTGCTCTGTAGTACAGCTTGAGGTCAGGGATGGTGATTCCTCCAGAAGTTCTTTTATTGTTGAGAATAGTTTTCGCTATCCTGGGTTTTTTGTTATTCCATATGAATTTGAGAATTTCCTTTTCTAACTCTGTGAAGAATTGAGTTGGGATTTTAATGGGGATTGCATTGAATCTGTAGATTGCTTTTGGCAAGATGGCCATTTTTATTATATTAATCCTGCCAATCCATGAGCATGGGAGATCTTTCTATCTTCTGAGATCTTCTTCAATTTCTTTCTTCAGAGACATGAAGTTCTTGTCATAGAGGTCTTTCACTTGCTTGGTTAGATTCACACCAAGGTATTTTATATTATTTGCAACTATTGTGAAGGGTGTCATTTCCCTAATTTCTTTTTCAGTCTGTTTATCTTTCATGTAGAGGAAGGCTACTGATTTGTTTGAGTTGATTTTATAACCAGCCACTTTGCTGAAGTTGTTTATCAGGTTTAGGAGTTCTCTGGTGGAAGTTTGGGGGTCACTTAAGTATACTATCATATCATCTGCAAATAGCGATATTTTGACTTCTTCCTTTCCTATTTGTATCCCTTTGACTTCTTTTTGCTGTCTAATTGCTTTGGCTAAGACTTCCAGTACTATATTGAATAGGTAGGGGGAGAGTGGGCAACCTTGTCTAGTCCCTGATCTTAGTGGGATTGCTTCAAGTTTCTCTCCATTTAGCTTGATGTTGGCTACTGGTTTGCTGTAAATTGCTTTTACTATGTTTAGGTAGGGGCCTTGAATTCCTGATCTTTCCAAGACTTTTATCATGAAGGGATGTTGAATTTTGTCAAATGCTTTCTCAGCATCTAGGGAGATGATCATGTGGTTTTTTTCTTTAAGTTTGTTTATATAGTGGATTACATTGATGGATTTCCGAATATTGAACCATCCCTGCATTCCTGGGATAAAACCTACTTGATCATGATGGATGATTGTTTTGATGTGGTCTTGGATTCGGTTTGCTAGAATTTTATTGAGTATTTTTGCATCGATGTTCATAAGGGAGATTGGTCTGAAGTTCTCTTTCTTTGTCGGGTCCTTGTGGGGTTTGGGTATGAGTGTAATTGTAGCTTCATAGAACGAATTGGGTAGTGTTCCTTCTGTCTCTATTTTGTGGAATAGTTTGAAGAGAATTGGTATTAGGTCTTCCTTGAAGGTCTGATAGAATTCAGCACTAAAACCATCTGGTCCTGGGCTTTTTTTTAGTGGGGAGGCTTTTGATGACTGCTGCTATTTCCTGAGGGGTTATGGGACTATTTAGATGGTTTATCTGCTCCTGGTTTAACTTTGGTACCTGGTATCTGTCTAGGAAATTGTCCATTTCATCCAGGTTTTCCAGTTTTGTTGAGTATAGGCCTTTGTAGTAAGATCTGATGATTTTTTGAATTTCTTCAGTTTCTGTTGTTATGTCTCCCTTTTCAGTTCTGATTTTATTAATTTGGATACTGTCTCTGTGCCCTCTGGTTAATCTGGCTAACGGTTTATCTATCTTGTTGATTTTCTCAAAGAACCAACTCCTGGTTTTATTGATATTTTGTATTGTTCTTTCTGTTTCTATTTGGTTGATTTCAGCCCTGAGTTTGATTATTTCCTGCCTTCTACTCCTCCTGGGTGTATTTGCTTCTTTTTGTTCTAGAGCTTTTAGTTGTGCAGTCAACTTGTTAGTGTGTGCTCTTTCCAGTTTCTTTTTGTAGGCACTTAGAGCTATGAGCTTTCCTCTTAGCACTGCCTTCATGGAGTCCCACAAGTTTTGGTATGATGTGTCCTCATTTTCATTGAATTCTAAAAAGTCTTTTATTTCTTTCGTTATTTCTTCCTTGACCAAGTCATCATTGAGTAGAGAGTTGTTCAGTTTCCATGTGCACGTGGGTTTTCCATTGGTTTTGTCATTATTAAAGACCAGTCTTAGTCCGTGGTGATCTGATAAGATGCAAGGGATTATTTCAATCTTTTTGTATCTGTAGAGGCTTGTTTTGTGACCAATTATATGGTCTATTTTGGAGAAGGTACCATGAGGTGCTGAGAAAAAGGTATATTCTTTTGTTTTAGGATGAAATGTTCTATAGATGTCTGTTAAGTCCATTTGGTTCATAACTTCTGTTAATTTCAAAGTGTCTCTGTTTAGTTTCTGTTTCCATGATCTGTCCATTGCTGACAGTGGGGTGTTGAAATCCCCCACTATTATTGTGTGAGGTGTAATGTGTGTTTTGAGCTTTAGTAAAGTTTCTTTTATGTATGTAGGTGCCCTTGCATTTGGAGCATAGATGTTCAGAATTGAGAGTTCACCTTGGTAGATTTTTCCTTTGATGAGTATGAAGTGTCCTTCCTTATCTTTTTTGATTAATTTTGGATGAAAGTCGATTTTATTTGATATTAGAATGGCTACTCCAGCTTGTTTCTTGGGACCATTGGCTTGAAAAATTGTTTTCCACCCTTTTATTCTGAGGTAGTGTCTGTCTTTGTCACTGAGGTGCGTTTCTTGTATGCAGCAAAATTCTGGGTCTTGTTTGTGTATCCAGTCTGATAGTCTGTGTCTTTTTATTGGGGAATTGAGACCATTGATGTTAAGAGATATTAAGGAAAAATGATTGTTGCTTCCTGTTATTTTTGTTATTAGAGGTAAAGTTATGTTTGTATCTTCTTTTGGGGTTGTTGGAAGATTACTTCCTTGCTTTTTCTAGGTTGTAGTTTCCCTCCTTGTGTTGGCATTTTCCATCAATTATCCTTTGAAGTGCTGGGTTTGTGGGAAGATATTGTGCAAATTTGGTTTTGTCATGGAATATATTGGTTTCACCATCTATAGTGATTGAGAGTTTTGCTGGGTATAGTAATCTGGGCTGGCAATTGTGTTCTCTTAGGGTCTGTATGATGTCAGTCCAGGCTCTTCTGGCTTTTATAGTCTCTGGTGAGAAGTCTGGTGTAATTCTTATAGGTCTGCCTTTATATGTTACTTGACCTTTTTCCCTTACTGCTTTTAGTATTTTTTCTTTGTTTTGTGCATCTGATGTCTTGATTATTATGTGACGGGAGGTATTTCTTTTCTGGTCTAGTCTATTTGGTGTTCTGTAGGCTTCTTGTATGTTTATGGGCATCTTGTTCTTTAGGTTAGGGAAGTTTTCCTCAATAATTTTGTTGAAGATATTTACTGGCCCTTTAAGTTGAGAATCTTCATTCTCATCTATACCTATTATCCTTAGGTTTGGTCTTCTCATTGTGTCCTGGATTTCCTGGATGTTTTGAGTTAGGAGTTTTTTTGCATTTTGCATTTTCTTTGACAACTGTGTCAATATTTTCCACCGTATCTTCTGCATTTGAGATTCTCTCTTCTATCTCTTGTATTCGGTTGGTGATGCTTGTGTCTATGACTCCTGATCTCTTTCTTAGGTTTTCTATCTCCATGGTTGTCTCCCTTTGAACTTTCTTTATTGTTTCTATTTCTAGTTTCAGATCCTGAATGTTTTTGTTTAACTCCTTCTTTGTGTTTTCTTCCATTTCTTTAAGGGATTTCTGTGATTCCTCTTTAAGGGCTTCTATCTGTTTACTTGTACTCTCCTGTATTTCTTTAAGGGAGTTACTTAATTCCTTCTTATAATCCTCTATCATCATCATGAGAAGTGATTTTAATTCTGAATCCTGCTTTTCAGTTGTGATGGGGTGTTCAGGGCTTGCTATATTGGGAGAACTGGGCACTGATGATGCCAAGAAACTTTGGTTTCTGTTGCTTATGTTCTTGCGCTTGCCTTTCGCCATCTGGTTAACTCTAGTGGTACCTGCCCTCACTGTGTAAAACTGGAGTCTGTATTTCCAGTTATCTTGCTTATTGCAGAGCTCCTCAGAGTCCAGAGGTCTCTGTGGTCTTATGCTCCTAATCTCCTGGGTGGAAGAACTCCTGGGACTCAGGCCACCTCTTGGATCTGGAAATCCTTCAGCTCTGAGTGCAGTGGGTCCTCGATGACTCAGGTTTCAGTTTCAGCTGCTCTGAGTGCAGTGGCTCCTGGATGACTCAGGATTCAGTTTCTCAACAGGACAGGAGCAGACCGACTCTGTGTCTGCTCCAGCCCAGAGGACCAGGCAGGGGCGGAAGGGCGGCCTACTCTTAAATAATCATTCAAGACAGAGAAAGTAAAACCTGCTGACCCTTGTAAAGATGAGCTGTAACTGTTACTGCAGCCTGTTAATGCAAAATTAGGCCTGTTAGGAAGTACAGTGTGACCCCAAGGCTATTTTTAGACATGAGCTATCATAACAGTATACCTTAAAGTATTCAATCATAGATAGTTTATGTCACTGTGTGCTGGTTAGTTTCAGTTTCCACACTAGGGGTGGTCATTTCTGTTAACCAAGTATCTGTGTGTGAGATGGAGTCAGCCAGGACTGCACAGTTGGGCTTGCCACTGAGAGAATCCAGCTGTCCAACTCTTGTTCAGAACTAAGTCAAGCAACTTGAATTCTTTTGGTGGGGCAGGAATATGGAGATGTAGGGATGTAGAGAAAATAAGGCTTCCTGAGGCCAGAGCTTCGAGTGACTGAGTCTCCTGAATGGTTCTGTCTGCTCACCTCATATCTCCAGGTGGGACAGGCGAGTCTCAAGCACCAAGGGAAAGAAAGTAATTTCCCCAAGCCAGTGATTATCTGGGCACAAAGGGAGCTCTGCCATTCAGTCCTCCCTGTTCATTGTATCACATGCTCTGAATGGCTGGAACAGGGACCATAGAGATCTCCAAGTCTAATTTCTAACTGGATTTCATCTTCTCTTACCTCCTCTGTTATATTTCCTAGCTAGCTGAAGCTAGAATTCTGCTTCGTGCCATAAGGTTCTCCTAAGATGGATACATCTTTTGACGATGCCTTGTTGGCCAAGGACTTGGGGGATTGCCACCACTTTATTGGCTCTGACTCTCATCAGGTTTTTGTTGTAGAACGTGCCAATAGAAGCATTCACCAATTGAAATGTGCCCTGAGAGAAGTTGATGTCACTGTAGAAGAAGATGCACTGGATCCTTCCACCAGCATCAACGTAGACAATGAGGACACAGGGGTGGCCTGGCATGAACTTCAGCACAGCCATGCTGGTGAGTGTGACTGTCAGTTGGATCATGGTACATAGTGGATTCTCCCAACTCTACAGACTTCACTCCACTCAGTTGGCCACTCTACTGCTAAGTTTCTATTGCTGTGTAACAAAAAAGCAATAAAATTCCTTTACTCAGCTTTCTTCTTTTAACTTCTAAAATCGTATAGTCTGAAGTTCACAGTCCATAGGATGGATTAACACTGTTTTCCTAACGTAACAGTACTTCTTAACTTAATGTAACAGTACGTCTTAACATACTGCTCCACTCATATTTCTCTGTGCTGTCTTCTTAGCCATCCTTTTCACAAGCCTCATTTGAGCCACCTGTCATAGAATGCAGCCGTCTCTCAGCAACCCCTGGCCATGCTTCTATACCTTTACACCTACAATGCCTTGTGATGAATCTCTCCACTCTTCCCTGCATGCTGAACTCCTGTGCACTGCTGCTGTTAGCACCTATGTGAAAGCAAGCACAAGCTGTGTTCCCTGCTCTTGAAGCCTTGTGTGCAGCTCTAGGTTCACATGAAAAGCTTATATCTACTGCTGTAACTATTTGGCTTATTACATTCTTATTCAAGAGGTAGATTTTTTATTTTTTTCTTCGTATCCCCAGCCAGTGGCAAAGTTCTTGTTGCCTAATAGAAGTTTAAGCAATGTTTGCTGGATTGATGTTGAGCAATAAAATGTTAGTGTATTTTCTATTACTGTAACAACATCTGAGATAAACAAACCTATTAAGAATATACTTGTTTTTTTGAGACAGGGTCTCAGTGTGAATCCCTGGATAGCCAGAAACCCTCTTTGTAGGCAAGGTGGGCTTGGACTTGTGGTCATCCCCCTGCCTGTGTCTCCCAAGTGATGATATTACTGGAGTCTGCCAGCATACCTTAAAGGTTTGTTTCGGCTTATCATTTTGCACATTTCAGCCTATTATGGATTGCAGTGCTTTGCTTCTTTGGGCATGTGGCAGGGCAGCACATTGGGGAGGTCCATAAAGATAGGCAAGCCTACCTACCTCATGCCAGGAAGGGCAAAAGAGGAAGAAGGTGTTGTGAAGACTTCCTCCATTTAACAGTTTGATTATCAAATTTAATGATTTGTTTTAATAATCAAATCCCCAGCTCTTCACTAGGTCCTACATCTTCTAATTTCTTTTATCATCCATTTATGTTAAGCGAGGGCATATTCTTTGATGAGTGGTCTTTGAGGGGCATTTATAGCCTGAGCTGTGCATAACCTATAATCTCAAGCAAGGTCAATAAATCCATTGCTTTTTCTCTGCAGTCAATCAACTGAAAGCTTTGTTGCGTCAACAAACATGTAAGGAAAATGAGACATCTCCAACACGAAGACGAAAGTTGTCCCCTTCGGTGAGTGTCACCCTTTGAAACCTGACAGAAGCCCAGCTTCCTAGCTTTGCTTCAGTTTCCTGTGTCAGTTTTTGCATGTTGCACATGGTCCATTTTACAGCCATAGTAATTTTATTTTATTTTATATTTTATTTTCATTTATTTATTTTGTTTGTTTTTTTAGACAGGATTTCTCTGTGTAGCCCTGACTGTCCTGGAACTCACTCTGTAGACCAGGCTGGCCTCGAACTCAGAAATCTGCCTGCCTCTGCCTCCCATGTGCTGGGACTAAAGGCGTGTGCCACCACTGCCCGGCAACATAGTAATTTTAGAGAAACATTCTTCCACCTCTGATTGAACTGAAGGAATCTTGATACTTTTAATTTTTTTTTTTTGCTTCAAAAATGAGGTCAAGAGAACAGCTTGATAAATGTCTTTTGCAATGGTTAGTGAATATATAAAAGCAACAGTCAATACAAAGGCCTAATGTTTCAGTAATATATTTTTTAAATTCATATCTATATTGGATCATTTGTAGAAGTTACTAATTGTAATGTTAGGTCCTCTCCCTTGTAATGCTGTTTTATTTAGTGTTATAATTAGTGAGAAATTGTACAACATTTTTTAGAAATTATATATACTTTGAAGATTTTGTTATATTTTGGATATCTATGTATTCAACTTAAAGAAAAAAACCTAGATACGCTGTCCATCTCAACAATGTCTGGTTTTCTACTCTTATGAAACTCATGTGCTTCTAACATGTTGTATTGACTCCTGAGCATCTATTTAGTGGTAGAGTCTCACATGGTAGTGACTTGTAATTGACACAGCTCATAGTATTAGTACGTATAAGTATACAGTGCAGGTCCCCACACTGTTATATGTGCTCCTGTAAATGGACCTGTACATTTGTAAAGCAGCCACTCCGTGTAATAAAGAACCTTCCTGGGGCTGGAGAGATGGCTCAGTGGTTAAGAGCATGGTCTCCTCTTCCAGAGGTCCTGAGTTCAATTACCAGCAACCACATGGTGGCTCACAACCATCTGTAATGAGATCCGATGCCCTCTTCTGGTGTGTTTGAAGACAGTGTACTCACATATATAAAATAAATATATATTTTTTTTAAAAGAACCTTCCTCCATACTGATCCAGTTGGCTCCCCATGGCAGGACTCCGATGTGTCCTCCAAGCTGATAAGCACGTCTGGATAGGCAGCAGCTCTAGCAACTTCCTCTAACTTGTGTGAAAGCATGCCATTCACTTTGTGCTCTTCAGAGCATTCTAGAAACCAAAAGCCAGCAGGAGTAAATGCACTGAGTGATAAAATGTGTTGTTATAAAATTATAATCAATAGCTATAAATATTGAATATGCAGTGAAGTGTATTTCTGTAAAGTAAGAATTAAACATAAAAGTATGTGCTTGGAAGGATGCAGTGCTCCTGTGAGGGTGCCATTATGACACTGTGTAAGTCAAGGGAAGCCATGTGTATCTAGAGTGCATCATGCAGCCTTTACATTCAGTTGTTGTGGGCACAGGGACCAGGAGATGGGGGAAGAGTTGCAGCTCACTAAGATTCCTATGATTCGGACTCTGGAGACCAGCATCAGGGTGCAGCTCTAACTTTATTGTTTAGTACATAAGCTTACATACAGTTTTTCAGCCTATTAGGGTACAGTTATGTATTCAAGAACAAATTGGGGCACAGCATGTGTTATTTAGTTGGATCTGACTCATCTGCCCTTGAGCCTGTAAGTGGGGGGGTGGCGGCGATGGGGAGATTTCAGTGAGGACAGGGAAGCAGCCTCCCACCTGGCCTTGCTGGGAGCCATTTCAGATCACTTGGAGCTAGATCAGGATACTTGAGGAGTTGCAGAAGCCTATGGCGTTTCTCTTCGCCCCGCCCTTGTTACTGCAGTGGTTTTATTTCCACATCCCCCACAAGTTGTCACACATACTAGAATCATGAAGTGGCACTGCTACTATGATGTGTTAATATTTATGTCATACTTTATGGGTTTCTAAAGAATTCTAAATATATCATTTCTCTTATGATTGCAGAAATTCCAGGACTCAGGCACAGTGTCCTTTTAGCAAGCATGTGACGTAACTTTGTAAACCCAAGGCCTAGACTATGATTGACCTAGTTCAGAGTTGATTCTTTTATATCCAGCCCAGCTCTTGGTACAGAAAATACTTTAGCCAGGAATAATTCTTTGCCAAAGCTATAAAAATCAACTGAGTGAGGAAAAAAGTTCTCTTTGCAAGCCTTCCTGTTAGGCTGACTGGTTGACTCTCATTTCCCTTTTCCTGATTTCATCTTCCTGAAAAACCAACAGCAGTAGAACTTTTTCTGAAATGTCTCCTTGGGCTACGTGGTGCACCTTGTGTGTCTCTTTTAGGGAGGATCTGTGCCTTAGAGAATCTGTGCCCCAGAATGCACAATTTTGAATTGCTGCTAGGCTATGTTAACCCTTCCACTCCTACACACCTCTGCGGCTATAAATCCATTCAGCAGCAACAACAACAAATTGAAAGCCCAAATTCTAGCTTTTCTAATGTGATCTTTGGAACAGAGTTTTGCTTGCCTGGTGTGCATTTGACTTCTGAAGTCTCTTCCTTGGTGAGCTGATATGAATTTCAGGGAACACTTGTCTTCTGTGGTACGATTGCTGAATGGGCTGTCATGTTGCTAAGTAGTTAAGCAGGTAGCCCATCCCAAGGCAGTTATAGTACCCTGTTCTAAAAAGAAACTTCATGTGTCATGTGCTTTTAATAACTGTGTTACTTTCTTTCAAAAATAATATTCATGTCTTATACTTGTAGAATTTATAGAACAGAGAAATAAATACTCCATGTACACTGTGATCTAGTACACGGTGGTCTAGTCTTTGCTTATGTCGCACCAGCACTAAATTGAGTGTAGAGAGGGTAACCAGACGATTCTTTGCTAAATCTGGAGCTGCTTAACTTGTCCTTTCTGTCGTAGAGGCCGTCAGAATGTGAGGATGGTAGCATGCCTACCATGCACAACCTTGTTCCCATCATTAATGACCAGTCTCAATATATTCATCATTTAGAAGCAGAAGTCAAGTTTTGCAAGGTAAGCTGCTCATCAGGATCTCAATGTGCATCAGTCATATCTTACATAGAAGTCTGGAATTCTTAGCTTTCGTGTTTACTGTGATCCACTGAAAAGAACTACTCTTATGTGGTACTGTCTTTCATGCCGTTTCTGATTGGTTAACTGCCCAGCAGTTTTGTTATTCTGCTGTTGAAGTCGGTGCTGATGCTGTACATGGTGTACTAAGTAATAGTAACTAGTTAAGTCACTGTGCTGGTTCGTCTTTGTCAGCATCACACAAAGCAGAGCCCTCTAGGAAGAGGGACCGTCAGCTGAGCAAGTGCCTCCATCAGATTGACTTGTGAGTCCATCTGTGGGCATTTTCTTATTTCTGGCTGATATGGGAGGATCCAGTCCACTGTGGGCAATGCTATGCCCTGTAAAAGAAAGCAAGCCAAGTGAAGCATAAAAACCAAGCCAGTAAGTGAGGCCTGTGTGGCTCTGCCCTAGCTCCTGCTTCTGGGCTTGCCTCAAGCTCCCACGCTGACTTCCTTCAGTGATGGACTGTGATCAGGATGTATAAGCTAAATAAAAGCTTTCCTCTCCCAAGTGCTTATGGTATTTCTCACAGAACAGAGGCCTAACTAGAACTGGCTCGTACTGTGAGACTTTATTGTTTTATGACTAGAAGTTAGGCTATTTTTGTGGTTTGCCTTTATTAGAGACATCAGGCTAAATTTTCTTCTGTGGTCTTGGAATCATCTTCTCTGCTATCTTCAGGTTCCTTAGAGAGTCTTTGAAAGAATTTCTGTAGGTTGAATTTCTCCTCTGTTACGAGAGATCCCTGTTGGTATGGAAAGTCATGGGGAAGACAAAGTGCTGTCTGACCCTGTGAGTCCCTTTCACATCTCACTGAGCTCATAAAGGTTTTTATAACCTTTATGTCTACAGGTCCTTGAAAGTGTTTCCGCCCAAGTAAGGCCTTGTTATAGCAGACACAGGTCCTGGGCATAATATTTGTAAGCGCCACCTCCCCCTTCCTGGCATGAGTGGATTTATTTTAATTTTTACCTTGAGTACTTGGTAGCCATGGAATTAAAACCCTGAGGGGTCCTAGATCCCCCTGGAATCTTTAAACCTTAAACTGACTCACACTGACCTTTGAATCAGTTATCATTAGGATTTTCCTCCCTAAGTACTGGCTTCTGCAGCGGCTTCTTAAAGGTTTCTGTTCCAGTGTTGTAGTTCTAAGCGCGTTTTCTCTGGATTAGAGGCACAACTTTAACTTTCTCTGTGACTTCATTTCTTAGGTGAGTCTAAGAAGAATTTTTATTTTCAGATTGTTAAAGTTTTTTATTAGAGAGATTGAGTTGATACCTTCCAAGCTTAATTACATGTTGGACTAAGAACTGGACTTTTGGAATTTATTTTTTCAACATCAACATTTAATTACAGGTTTTTTCCTAATGTAGGTAAAAGGGATCTGCATATTACATAATAGTTTTTGATTATGGTAGTAATCAATAGTAGGATAAGCATTCATACATCTGTATTTTTGAGATTTTTTTGTTTTTGTTTTCAGAAAGTAAGATAGCACTCAGTAGCTATTCAAGTTGTGATTTCCTTAGTTGCTTCTGTTACATGATACTAGGCCAATGATATATAGAACTACAAGTGGTCAAACTTTATACCAGTCTGCTTCATTTGTAGTTCTTCTGGGAACCAGTTGATAAACACTGCAGTTTTCTTTCTTTCTTTCTTTCTTTCTTTCTTTCTTTCTTTCTTTCTTTCTTTCTTTCTTTCTTTCTTTCTTTCTTTGTTTTTTTTTTTTTGTTTTTTGAGACAGGGTTTCTCTGTGTAGCCCTGGCTGTCCTGGAACTCACTCTGTAGACCAGGCTGGCCTCAAACTCAGAAATCCACCTGCCTCTGCCTCCCAAGTGCTGGGATTAAAGGCGTGCACCACCACTGCCCGGCAACACTGCAGATTTCTGTGCTCTTCATTTAGTCCTCACACATTATTGACATTTAACCATTGGTAGGTAGTAGTTTACTTACTTTTCAGCAGACTGCCTCATTTTGAAAAATCTCTTAGATAATCATTTTAACTAAGACTTTCCTCTAGTCTTGGATTCCTTGTAGAAACAAAATAATAGCACCTTATGATATGGCCACCATCTGACGTCAACTATCCATTAAGTAACACAAACACTAGATAATATTACCTAGGGTTAGGTTTCCTTTCTGCCCTTAATATAATTGTTGTGCATCAGGAATTTGATGGTATAACTCTTCCATAATTTATTTCATGTTGGATTCCAAGTAATTAAGAAATATATGTTGCTTAAAAGCTTTAATTTCTGCTTTTTATAGGATGAATTATCCGGAATGAAAAATAGGGTGCAAGTAGTTGTACTTGAGAATGAAAGGCTCCAGCAAGAATTGAAATCTCAAAGACATGAGGAGACACTGAGGGAGCAAACATTCCTGGATGCGTCTGTGAGTGGTGTTTATAACCATAGTCTTTTATTTTGAATGTTTCTTCCTACCCTTTCTCCAAGCTTTTCAACTGGGTTCAACCTATTGATATAATATTATTGTCTACAAAGTTCATACTCAAGAACTATGAAGTCGAGTTGTTAAGAAAAAAAACAGAAACAAACAAACTCATGGTATTTTAAATAAGTTGATGATTTTGTGTTGGGCGATCATTACGTCCATAGCTATTCTGGGGTACCTATGGCCCATGAGCCATAGTTTGGACATACTTGTTTTTTTTCTCCTTGAAGTTTGTTGAGAATGCCATGTTTAAATTTGCATGGTGCTTTAGTAGTTAGAGTCAGCTGTGATGGAGTGGATCTTCAGGTGACAGAACACAGGCCTGGAGGTCCCCCGGTGTCTTCTCTGTGCCTTTATGCCTTTCTCATATGAAAAGAGGAACCTGCAAGCACAGAATGTGTTATATAGTAGGAACTGTGCTAATCTAGGAATGGTTCAGAATCTTACCTGGATCTGTTGACTTTCTCTACATTTCTCTTGAGCTCTAAGATCTTAGATAAGCAGTGCATCGTGGTAGGAAGAATCCTGGCCTGTGAGTCTGAGGATCAAGATTCTGTTCTGAGTTTGCAAGGTTCATGGTGTTTACTAAGTATCAGCCTTGCTCATAATACTTAGTTCCTTTATTGGTGATTTGAGAAACTTTACCCTCATCAGGGTCTACAGTGGGAGTTCCTGGGTTCCATCCCCCAAGAGTCCCCGACATTTTTCCAGTCTGGTTGGATTCTAGGAATATAAACCTCCAGTTGCTTCTTGTCTCTAGTATTGTTGGTACAGACTTTGAAGAAAGGATAAAATGGTCTTTAGACTATGTAGAGACCATTTACACTCTGTAGACAAATTCTACCTTCAATGAGGCATTGCTGATGCTGCTAGTTGCAGCTTACGTTGTCATGGACTTTGGTTTTTCTAGATGTAGTTATCATTCGTAAATCAGTTCTATGAAGAAGAATATGTGACTTTGTAATGGCTCCGGTCCCCCTGTCATTGTCCAGTGAGGCATGAGGGCCATACCCATCCCGATGTCTTTTTCCTGGAGAGGGGATACCTTTGACATCAACCCCTATGCAGTCAGGCTTGTCCCTCAGGGAACCCAGAGAGATATTTTTAACTTTTATTTATATTCCCTTGCAGTGCTTAGCCTCGCAGCCTAAGCAAGAATTCAGATCGCCAGTCAGAGGGGGTTCTGGGTGGCTCCTCTCTGCTTGTTCTAGGGGTGGAAGTCTCCTCTTTTAGGTTGAGTGGAGATGGGTTTTGGGAACACCTTGGATAGAGTAACAACCTCATCTTGAGTCTCGTGGTCCTCCATAGCTAACTTATGATAATATATCTGAATAGGTTTTGCTACCAAATTATTTATCTGTTGTTTCACAAACCTAGTCAGCCTATTTAAGGCCCAGGGACCAAAAGAAGTAAGCAAAAATAACTCAATTAATGGTCCCAAGATGGGAGGAAGTAGGGTTGACTACCATGGAGAGGTTGAAAATCAATTCTTGTACCAGCTCTCATCTTTCTCTTTCTGTCTCTGTCTTTTCTCAGGGCTTCTCTGACCTTTTTCATGCTCTCTTTAACCATCCCTATCTTGTCTATATAAAGGCAACATTCTTCTTTAAGGGCTGTACACAGTCAAGAGCTGTACACAGTCTTTTCTATTGTAAAAGAGTAAATCAAGTCCAATAAAGTCCTTTGCAATTTTTGGAGGTCTCTTCAGACAGTGAAACGAGGGATTTCTTCAGATTAGTGATGTCAATCTCTAGCTGTTTGATGTTCTTGTCAATGGCCCATCAAAGGTCTGAGTAGTATAAGTTCGGAGGCCAGCATCTGGATTAGAGGAGATGTCAGGGGCAGCCCTGCTTATACACTGAAGGCCTAAAATCAGCCATAGGCCGAAAATCAGCAATAGGCCTGTCATATATGTATACTAACACCAAGTCTTGGGTCTCTGTGGAAAAACATTGAAACAGATGGCTATAAGCTATTGTAAACAGGCAGCTTTTGTGGAAATTTACCAGCCTGAGTAGTCAAAGACCTTGTAAATAGGTAGCCTTGGCAGATAATACCAACTTAGATAGGGACAAGAGAGTCATAGGCAGAGTCATAGTGACTTGTCTCCTGAACCTTCACGCAGCTGATACCCTGTTCTGAAAGATATCTGTACTCCCTCTGAACACCCACGCTCCGGTGTCATCCCCTTCCCCACGTCCTGCCTTTTTGTGTTTATAACCCCTGTGTGAATAAGTAAAAATTACAATTTGATTAAAAAAATAAATAATAATAAAACTAATAAAAAAACGATTTAAAAAAAAAGAAGAAGAATATGTGAGATTCTTTATGATGTACTTATGTGTCATCTGATTTTGGTTTTGTAGCTTACTTCTCCCAGCCGGACCCAGCATTTCCTTTCTGGTCCTTGAGTTGTGTGTGTGTGTGTGTGGGGGGGTGTTGCTGTTGAGTTGACTTTGAAAACTCATCAGTTGGGCTGGTGATTAGTATTCAGTTTGTTTTCTGTGCTGACATTTACATTTGTGAAAAGTTAGCTACTCCTTGATATATAATTATTTTGTAGCTTTATATGATTATTAATATTGGTGGTTAAACATTCCACCTTAATGCTTATAATTTTGATGTTAAATTGAAAAAAAAAGATATCACCCAATAAAAAGTACTTGGAAATAGTGCCTTTAAAAAAAAAATACAGTCTTGTGTTTTTCCAGTAAATGTATAGTCACTTAGCAGTGAGTCAGTTATTCATCGTCCTCAATATTTATACAGTGGCAAAGAAGTGGGAGAAGAGGAAGTGATGTGAGAGGAAACTGTGTAGACGCGTGAATAAGAGGCAGGAGTGAGCGGGAAGGAAGCGACGGTCGCCACAGCACATCTGCCTGGCAGTCTGAGAAAAGGGGACTTGCCAAAAGAAAACTACAGTCATAATTGTAGACTAGACAAGTTTCCAGAGAGGCTGTGTTGTTGATCTTACTCATTTACATGTAGTGAAAGGGGCACACCCCCTGAAATGACTGTAGTAGGTGTGCTGGCCAGCCCCTTAGCCTTCTGTGGTGTCCACTGTTGCTGGACAGTTGTACTTGCTGTTTACTTGGCTAGGTAAACAGGTCTTTCACTAATGCATTCTTGATACTTTGTTGGAATTAATATGAGTAAAACTTTTTAGCATGTCTTAAGTGTTGATGAGTTAGGGATGTTATCTTTCTCAAGGAGAAATTGGGTTTTTTAGTGACTCAGATATTCATACTAAGTCTCAGCAGTGCTATAGGTTAATTTGAACTTAGAACCCAGTATCCCAATGTCCTCTTCTGTAAAGAACTGAGATAATTATATAGTAACTCTCATTTGTAGTGCCTGCGTGGGTTTGTATCAGGTACTGTATTAAGCCTGTTACTTTTCTTGTATTATTTCAGTTTCACAATAGCTTACAAGGCAAGTGGTACTATTTGTATTTCAGAGGAGAAAGTTAGAATATGTAGTAGTTAAGTAACTGATACCATGTCACAGAGCTATAAAATGGTAAAGCAAGGACAGGAGCCCAGACTATCTTGACCCCTTGAACCCAGTTACTTAAGTTCATTTTTTTCTGCCTGTGTGTATAAATTAGTAAAAGATGCTCACATTGAAACAAACCATATTGCCCAGAGGTTTCTCCCAGAGAAGAGAGAATTCGGTTCCTCAATTCTATCTCTGCACGTGCAGGCAAGCCCCCAAGACTTGGAACTTCTAGGATGTTTGAAGACCTAGATGTTATAAAGGAATGATAATGGTATTTTATTAAAACTGAAACTATTCATAGAGTGCATCACTCATCTTTTAAAATCATAGTTTAATCCCCATGAAAGACTCCTGTCAAAAAGCTTTCTCTGTAGCTAAAAAGTATAATAATATTAAAATATCTTACTTGTTAGAGATTTTGTCACTATCTCAAAGATCTACGATAGGAACATCTCTGAGTCATTTTCTGTACTAATATTTCCTACAGTGAGGAAATAAGAGGTTTCCAATGATTTTAAGGATTTAAAATAATTGGTTAAATACTATTCAAGGTTTCAAAAGCTATCTATAGAAGACAAAACACTTATTTCTAAAGAATAATGTTTTATATCATGGGTCTGCAATCTGTGGTCTATAGGCATTAATTATCCAGTTTCTCTAGAGGAAATTGGTACCTTATCTTTGATTGATTTCAGAAGCAACTGAATATGAGCAGATCTTGTATGGCACTGCCCTACTTACACAATAGGTTGCAGTCGTGTTGGCCTGGGACCCGGATTCATCCCCTAGCCTCCTCCTCTCACCACCCTCTGCTTTACCTCTGTTAGTTGTAATTTTAATTTTTTCAAACCTTATTTTTAATGATGGTTCTTAAACACTTTAACCTCCCTTATAGTCCACCACCCACCAGAGGGTGGGAAAGAAAGGATACGGAGGAAGTGGACCTTTAGAAATGGTTCTTTGGAGCAAGTCCAGTCTGTGTTGTCTGGAAATCTGCAGTAGTTCACAGGTTAACAGCAGCAGCTTGATCCACTCACAAAAACTTCACAGATACATCAGCAGTCCATTTCAGTAGAGTTGGCATAGCAAACATTGATCAGCACCAGAGACATGACCTAGCAGAGACAACAGGTCTCAGAGTCAGTTCCAGTCAGCAGGAGGGACCTGGAAGAATACCCTGAGAAGTTCTAGGCTATGCCTCACTCAGTGAAGTGAAGATCATTGAAGACTCGAGACCCATAAGCATTGCACAGCTAGCTCTATAAGCAAGCCAAGCTCAGCCTCCGTCACTGTCCGTCGAGTTCTGTTTATTCCCTCCAAGCCTCACGTGTCCTCCATGTGCCTTGCCTTAGCACGTGCACCTGTCTCCGCTGACGTCACTCTACCAATCAGCCCTACTCCTCAGAAGCATCGAGAAGCTGCAGCACACCACCAGAAGTTTTTTGGTGCATTTCTTTCTATGCCATCTTGACAAAATGCAGCTCTACTACAAAATGTAAGGCGGACCAGTACATGTATGGTTAGCAGAGAATCCTTCATCATGTGTCCTTTCAGGTGCTTGCTTTAGCAGAACATCCTCTCTCTTGTGTCTGCTTCAACAAAATATTTCTTTACAAGTCTGCCTTAGCCTTTCATCTGTGTCCATTTTCACGCCATGTTCCTTCATGTGTTTGCCTCAGCAAAACACTATCCAGCTGGCCTTCCAAAGAACCCTTAAGTTTCCACGTCAGCTAGTAGTGATGGCAAACTACCTATGAACACAGGTAGAGGCTATCTTGTTATGGAAGGTTTGCTTTTCATTTAAATGACACACTAGGACCAAAACTTTTCCAGAAAGCTAATTGGAATTTCTGATTGCTCTCAGCATACAACATCCTCTGTCTATTGTGACTTAGTCCGAAGATAAGAGTATTGCAATGTCTTTTAAGAATGGAGCTTTGCTTGATCCTGAAAAATCTCAATTACCACCAAAACCAGTGGCTTTCAAGTTCTTGTCTAAAAAGATTAATGAATTAGAGAAATGAAATACACAGATCCCAGAGCGTCAGTTTTAGAGAAAAGTTCATTGTGGTACAATGATGTGTTCACTAACCCAGAAATTTTCCAAACCCCATCATTTGGAATTTTCAGAAGGCTCCTTACATAGGCATGGTTGATTTGTTAATGAGTGACCAAACAAACCAGTAGCCATTGCTCCAGTCCTCTCATCCTCAGAGAATAGGGAGGCTAAGAGTTCCCCCTTCTAACGAGGTTTCTGGTAAACTCTGCCCCCTTCCTGAAGCCTTGGGAAAACCTATGTCATCTTATTAGCATCAATGTTCCCAGCACTTGTGGTTATGAGGGTCTTAGGAACTCTTGTATTGGCAGTTGTGGACTAATACCAAGTATCGTACTGAAATATGTTTGGTCTTTTCACTCTAAAAATGTCAGGAGTTTTGGAAGCACTATCAGGAATCCAGAGCAGAGAACACCCATGTTTCTCTTATTACATTAAAGGCATAAATACTGCAGCCAGATTGCTAGGGCTCAAATCCTTACAGTTTATCCTTGTGACTCTTAGCAAATTATGTGAAGTACACAAAAGTATCTAACATACTTTGAGCTATGATTATTAGCCTCTATAGAATATGGGAAGTAAAAGACTGTCAGTTCCAGAGTGTCTGCTTTCTGAGGAGAATGTTGCATATACAGGCATCCAGGCTTCTCTGTGGATATTTGCATTATTCCCTGCATATGTGGGCACTTGACCCTATAATACCCACTGTCTAGCATAGCTTCGGCATGTACGTGTTCCTCATGGCTGGGAACCAGGATTCCATTTATAGTCTGCATGCGTACTTAATGGTGAGTGTCAGCAACTAATGGTGTGCTTTATTTTAGGGAAACACGCAGAATTCTTGGATTAAGACACGAGAAGATTCTAGGGTGGATGAAGCTGCAAAGAGACCATTTTCTCACGGTGATGCTGAAACTGGCAAAACTGTGTTCACTGGCGATGCTGACAAGTGGAAGCTGGAGCTGGTGAGTGGAGTGCTTCTGCTTCTCTGCCTCCCTTTCTTCTCGGCATGGGTGGCTCTTCACCTTTCCCTTGGGCCTTGGTCATTTCAGTTGTCCTCTGTCCCACTTGCTCACATCCTGTCTTTAACCCCTCTGATGGATTTGGCATGCCCCTCATTGAGTGTTTTTCTGTTCTAGAGTTCTTCTTAGTTCCTTTCTGTAATGTCCTCTGCTTTCTCCAGTTCTTTGCCTATGTTTCTCCTTGCTCATTGGATGCACGTGAGGCAATTGCTTATAGCCTTCTCTTTAGTCAGTTTGTTGTCTGGTTTCTCAAAGATTATGGTTTTTTATTTTATCCTGTTCATGACCCTACATTTTTATCTCCTTTACTCCCAAACTTTCTCAGACAGTTGAATATATTCTTATCTGCATTCTTTGTCTCCTGTTTTTACTTTAACACCTGATAGCATGTTCTGCCTGCTCATTTTATGGTTGCAAGTGATCTCTACCTAATAATAGTTTTGATACCACATGGACCAGTTCAACAGCCTCTTCCTTAACATTCTTACTGCACAATACAATATTTGTCCATTAAAGTACTCAAAGGTATACAGCCTAGTGATTTACTCTGAAAGAGTACTCATGAAATTATCATTTAGATCAATAATTATTTATTTATTTTACCATCCTTGCATGTCTTTGCTGTGCTCCTTGTCATCCAGTGTCTCTTTACTCCAGAGCTAACCAACTAGCTAGTCCTGACTTTCATGAACATTTGCCAAGAACACATTACTAAACATTCTACTTGAATCTTGTAAATTAAGAAAAGGTTATATAGATGGAGTCTTATGATGGTATATATTCTTTTATCTGGCCCCCCTTCTTTCTCTTTCTCCATCTTCCCTACCCCCTTTCTCTTTTAAATTTAGTTTGGCTTTTAGAGACAGGGTCTTATATAGCCCAGGGTGGCATTGAACTCACTGTGGAACTTAATCTGGCTTTGAACTCAATCCTCCTGCCTCTGCTTCTCAAGTGCTGAGATTACATGTATGTTTCAACAATTTGTCTTTGTTTCCTACCATTGCATTTCTAGATCTCCCCATGTCATTGCATGTAGCAGAAGCTTAGCAGTTTTCATTGAGGAGCCACCAAATGAATGCGCCACAAGGGACTTATCCAGTCTTGATGGGCATTTGTGCTGCTTCCGACTTGGTGCTGGTGTGAATACTTCTGCAGAGAACATTCATTATGTCTGTGGGCACGCACCTCACACATGGTCTTAGGCTGTGTCAGTGTTCAACTAGAATTGATTATCAGTGACTGCCTCCCGAGTAGTGCTTTACCAGTTTCCATGCTGTCCTGAAGTCCATACCCTTCTTTATACACCGTTGGCAGTTTTTCTCATAACCATGTGCATTTGCTTGGGGATTCTGTTTATTTGTTTTTTATGAGTTTATTTCATACAAGGTCTCTCTATGTAGTCTAGGCTGGTCTGGAACTCAGCATGAACCCAGGCTACCTTTGAGCTTATGGAAAAGTGTGCTTTAGAGTGCTTCTGCTCTTTCTTTTATTACGTTTATTTGCTATGTGATTTGAGGGAATATTCCAGTACAAGGCTTCTCTCTCTCTCATACACACACACTTACACATACTTTACTATGTATAGATTGTTGTCTCACTAAGTATCTTACTTTTTAATTCTCCTGGTAGCTAATTGCTTGCTTTAGTTACCAGAATTTAGTTACCAAAGATTTCATTGCTTATTCATTGTATAGTGCTTTCTGTATCTTAAAAAGTCCCTTTCTATCTGACAGAGGATATTTTCCTAAAGTATTTTCTGGAGTGTATGGCTGTGCCTTTTACATTTAGATGTACAGTCTGCCTGGAATTCATCTTGGAATGTGATGTGAAGCACACAGATCATTTTTTTCTCATGTGTTTATCAGCATATCAGAGTTCAATTATTGAAAAGGTAGTCTTGTGCCTTCATTTTACATTGTATTTTGTGCCTGTGAGTTTGAGGGTTCAACCCAATTGCTTGCACATGTAAGGCGAGCGCATACCTGGGAAGCCTCCCCTGCATCTCAGCAACTTTTCCATAGGTTAAGTGTGATTTTCTTTCTCTACCTGCTTCGTTGTACTCCTACTAAGCTGACTTTATGATTATAGCCTGAATGTGTAGACCATGTCATATAGACTGTTATTCTTTTTCCAAATGAGTTTACTAATTTGGCTTTTCCCATTTCTAAATACATTGTGGAGTTTGATTTAGATTGCCTTTTTAAAGTATATGTTATTTGGGAATCAGTGTCCTTATAACACCATCTCACCCATCACTGTGAGCTCCATAGAACTTCATTTATTTACGTTGTCTTTAACCTTTCTTAGTTTTTTTTTTTTTTCCTGTGAGATTCTGGGAATCAAAACCTGGGCGGAGCAACTCCTTTAGGAAACCTTTAGGAGCAACTGCATTGCTGAGTTGCATCCCTGCCTTTCAGCTTTCTTCAAACAAGGTCTTTCAGTGTAGCTCAGGATGCCCAGGACCTGGTCTATTCCAGGTAGGCCTGGAATCTAGGCCCTAGAACTCATGCTCATCCTGCCTGTGCCTCAGAAGTGCAGTGGATATGGAGTATACCACCATAATTAGCTATTTTTATGTTTTCCAAGGAAAGGATTTAAATATCCTTCATTAGAACTAGTCCTTACTTGATTTGGATGCTGTCATAAATAATTTTTATTTCCATATTTCATTTCTGAACTCACATGATTAAAAAAAGCTTGCAGATTTTGATATTTTACTAAGTCATACTTTTGAAAAACTAGCATTAGAATGGTGGGATTTCTCTTCTCCTGTCCTTTTAACCTGTTTGTATCTTAGTATCTGAGGGTCTTCCTTTAGAAGAAGCACACAGCTGGGCTCTGGCTCTCAGCCGCTCTGATGTAAGTTTTATAATGTGGTGTCTATGCCATTGGGAATCAATGGGATTATTCATACCGCTGCTTTTCACTCAACATGGTTGTCTTGCTTTTGAGTTCTTTTTATTGTGCTATTGTTTGCTCCCTTGTGTCACTGCTTGAAAATCATTTTTGGGAGTTTCTTTTCTTTCCTTCCTGGTTCTGAAATAATATTTAGCACTGGCATTCACTTTATCACTCAGTTCAGAAACCTGAATGAGTTTTGCCTTTTTCTGTCTCAGATCTAATCAGTTATAAATTTCTGTCCCCCTGGCTCGTGAGTATCTCAACACTATAAGCTTTTCAGTCTTTTTCACTGGTTATCTGCTTCACAGTCTAACCTCTTACCTATACATTAGTTCTTTGTAAACTTTGTTTCCCCCGATTATCCTGAGAATTAATCTGATAATAAGTTTTCAGTGCATGGCCAGTGCCTCAGCTGCATGGGTTGGATAAACAAGTGTCCTAACATTTATATTCATCCCATGTCCCACACTTTCCTGTTTCTCCCACATCCAGCTGCTCCTCCTCATAGCATTTTACCTTCTGGTGATCCAGTCAGGCTGCCCAAAGATACGGTGTGGTGTGATAGCTTCAGATTCTGTCCTGAAATCATTCTTCATGCCTTAACTCCCTCTCTGAGAAGCCTGACTTTTAACTGGTTTATAATTCTGCTTTCCCTCCTTTTCATCTCTCAGAGACTCATGTGCCACTCAGTTCCTTACAAGAGTGGAAGCTCTTGCTGAGGTTTGAGGGACCTGTGTAGATACCTAAAAAGTACTTGTTAAATGGTAGATTGCAGACAGAGTCAGCCTACAGATAGGGTGGCCATTTGGCTTATCACGGTAGGCATTAAACTTCTAACCTTTCCATTCAGAACATGTATATGCTGCATGCCAAGCATGCTTCACTTTCAGTGGGAAATTCTGATAAAGTTTGAACTGTATTGTTATGAACCCACCAAATAACAATCAAATTCTTACAAGTCACACTTCTAAGGGTAAGACTTAGTATGTGCAGTTTTAAAAGAAAATAAAAATTGTAAACAGTCACCATTTTGGGACCCAGTGGTTATGTATGGCCATTCACCTAATAGTCAGAGCAGCAGAGCTGGAGTGAGCTAGTGACAGCATCCCTGTAGCTTTGATCTTCCTGTGGGCAAGAGAGAAAAACTTGAGTTACTACTTAGAATTTACATTTTTTATAAAAACAAGACATGGCAAAAATGTGCTTTCCTGCCTTGTTCCACAGGAGAGGCTGAAACTCACATACGAGGCGAAGACTGACCTTCTGGAGTCTCAGCTGATGCTTCTGAGGTAAAATGAAGTCATCCATTTTCAGATACAACAAGAAGGTGGAGTTCTTAATGTAGACTTCATCGTTTGATGAACTGCAGTCATAATCAAAATTAGAATTACTTGATAGCACTTCATATGTAGTATGAAAGATAAAGTAATCACTCTTGTGCTTCAAAGTTATGGTAAGAATTAATAAGATAGATATGTAGTGTCTCCTGTGCTCAACACCACACATGGTGATAATGATACTCTCTGTACTAGTACTGTTGCCTGGACTCAGCCTAGAATTTTTTCACTTTCTTTTAGGAAAGACTTAGTGGAATATCAGAAAACCTGTGAGGATCTTAAGGAAAGATTGAAGCATAAAGAATCTCTTCTGACTGCTAGTGCATCCAGCCGTGTGGGTGGCCTCTGTTTGAAGTGTGCCCAGCATGAAGCTGTTCTTTCCCAGACCCATAGCAATGTGCACATCCAGACCATCGAGACGCTGACTAAGTAAGTGTGCCTTGTGTCTGGAGGCTTCGGCCATGGAAGGCATTCTGTCTATGAGGGCATTGTATCCTTTGATCCCAAGCTGAGTCACATGCAGTTAAGTTTGTCTTCCAATAAACCAGAGATTAGAAAGATTGTATCACTGTAGCTTTCATGATGGAAGAGTGGTGAGGGTCTGGTGTACCAGCTATAGGACAGCATGTCACCAAAAAAATCATTTTAGCTCTTAGTTCAAATCTCATCTGAGGTAAGAGAATTGAAATAGATAATCCTCATGGGTCACCCAGTTCAGTGACCCCCTAGTCTCAACAGTATTCTTCACAAGATGAGTGTGGCTGGAACTCTCTAGATTGTACCATGCCGTGGATTTACAGTGTGGTCTAGACAGAATGGGCTATCAGCACATCTTCTTCATGTGCCTGTTACAAAGCATATTCTGATGTCATGGGAAGAGGATGCAGCTGTCACAGCATCAGCAGAGGAACGTTGACGGGGGTGATTACAAAGGAGCTCTGTCCAAATTCTTGCCCAGGCTGAAATACCGCAGGCCTCCATGTGCACCTTGTGATCTAGTTTCACTCCTCTAGAGGAAGTCTTTTTTTCTTCTATAAAATTTCATTCAGTAGAAATTGAAAAGTATTGGTTATTATAGAATCCAGTGCTGTTTGCAGTCTGTGCTTTCCTATGCTCATTAGTCTTGTCCCTTCTCTGTCTGCTCTGCTCATTTCAGAAACCCAAACTGCATTTATTTCTGAGTTAGTCCCTCACTAAGCCCCACCCACTAGGTCCTCAGCTGATTTTATGATTTCCTCTGAATCTTTAGAATACACCATGTCCACCTGAGAGCATCACTGAGGTCTTGTTTATTGCTTCAGCTCTGGTCCTGTCAGAGTCCCTGGCCTTGGTGGTCTCTCAGTGTTCACACTTCTCTGCCTGTGATGAGATAGGGGTGGTTGCTTACCAGTCAGAGATCCCATAGTCAGAACTGATGTGCAAACATGGAATGATTGATCATTAAAGGTAGCCAGATATTCTGTGTGTCTTGACCTATAGAAAACTTGCTTTATTGCTCTGAATGGAGTTTTCTATTTTGCCATTTTGTGGGCAAATATGCAAAGGCAGCTTTACATTATTAACAGGAACACTGAGCTTGGATGCAGACTGCCTTGGATGCATAGTCTAGTTCTTCCACTGTTTGCTGTGTAATTTCACTATAGTTAACCAACCTTTCTGGGCCTCTGTTTTCTCACTTTTAAAGCATTCAAGTGTTTGGAACAGTAGTTGAGATGATATTTATACAGTGCTTCTTTTGTAAATGCTCAGCATTCTTCTGCTGAGCTGTATCTAGACACTAAACACCAAAGCCTTTGTGCTTCTCAGAGTATAAGAAGCTTTAATGTTTCTGGCAACTGTGACTTCCACACATTATTAATGTACTGATTGCTGTACAAAACCTGACTTGCCAGTAGGGATGACCAGTATGGGCTTGATTTTGTTAAATATGTTGTGAATTATTATTAAAACTTTTACATATATTCAATAAAACATATATATATATATATATATATATATATATATATATATATATATAATATTTTTCCTACCCAAATAATAAATAGTGATTGGCCAGGTCTGCGCTAGGCCATTGAAAACATAGTCTCCTCTAACCGTAAATACATCTTGTGAGGCAGGTACTATTATGCCTGATTATAACTTGGAAAGCAGTGGCTCAGAGAAATTAAATTTTTCTTTCTATTGGAAAAAAAGAATAGAGCTGTACTTTACAAACTGAATTATGTATAAAGAGCCAAATGTAATTCAGGCTATAAAAGTATTAGAAGTAGACGGATAGCTTTGGGCTCGTACCCTAAGCATGATATGGAACAGTGAAAGTCATAAACAGCCAAAACATTATTCCCTTGACTCATTAAAAATGTACTCATGGGGACTGGGCGTGGTAACCCACGCCTATCGTGACAGCACTCAGTAGGCTAAAGCAGAGAATCCAAAGCCAGTCTGAACTGTAGAGCAGGATCCTGTCTCACAGAGTATGAGGTTCGATATGTACCTCAGCGATGTGACACTGATCCAGCATGTCCAAGGTTTAATTCCCAGCACTATAAAACAATTTTAACTTCTTGACTTAATTTACTTAAAATAAAATATTGCAAATTATAGTAAAAGTTTGGGAAAATGTTTGCCATGTGTAACTAAATAATAGAGTGTACTCAGTTTTGAAATAAAACCAGGCAGACTGCCCTGCTGCACTAGGAGGAAGGGGAAGGAGCTGGTAAGAGAGGAAGCTGTCAGTTATCAGAAGATAGTCACTCAACTAAGAACAACCTACTCCATCGGACTGGTTGTGACTAACGATGGGAGATTCCGTGGAGACCAGGACTTTCATTCCCTGCTGGTGGCACTATGAAATCAGCACAGCTACTTTGTAGGATGATGTAGCACTGCCTATTAATATTTAATTTATGTGTTATAGTTTCCTACGAAGAAAGCTCATATATACGCACAGTATAACATTGAATGCTTTTGTAGCATTATTTGTGAGGGTGCAAAAGCCTGAGTACCGTTCAAAAGGAATAACTAAACTGTGGTGTGTGTCAGCTGTGCTGATTTATGGAAGAATCCGGGGCTGGAGAGATGGCTCAGCCAGCAAGCTGCCTGCTGCAAAACTTGATCTAAGTTCATTCCCTGGGAACTCAGATAGTGGAAGGGGTGACCCGAGCCCTGCAGGTTGTGCTCTGACCTCTACAGTGGTACTGTAGCATACACACGTGTAACACACACACACGCACACACGGTAAGTAAACATGAAAAATTAGAAATTGTATGCACACCCCCCCACACACACACACACGGTAAGTAAATGTGAGCAATTAAAAATTGTATGCACACCCACACACACAGTTCACACAGACTTGTACATCCACGTCCACGTATGTGAGGAAGCATAGAGGACCCATGTGGTTCAACATGAACCTAACTCCAAAGTCAATAAAACTACCCAACATCACAGCAAAACAAAACCATTCGATTTTCTAGGTCCAATACAATATTAGATATTTTCTCTAGTGTCATTTATGTATACAGAAAAAGATTTGAAAGAATACATACCAGGTATTTAACAGTAGTTAGCACTGGAAAAGTAGAAAAGGGGCCACAAGGATGCAAGATTTGTTTCAAACAGTCTTTAATCCCATTGGTAGCTAATTTGACATGGAGATACATGTCAAAGAAGTAGATGTCAAAGGCAGGTTTAACTAGTTAGTCTAGTGAAATCAACCAACAAATAAGATCAGAGTGCAGCCCTATAGTGTTGGCCTTCTAGGTTGTAGAGAACATGTTGAATGGGGCTACATTGATTGATATTGATTGTCTGATGGAGGTTACAGTGTTTATATTGATTGAGTGTCTGATGGAGGTTACAGTGTTTATATTGATTGATTGTCTGATGGAGGTTACAGTGTTTATATTGATTGAGTGTCTGGCTTTTGTTTAAAAATTAGAGTCTTGTCAGTTAGAATTCTGCTTTTGTTATCTTAAATTTGATCTCAGGCTCTGAGAGGCAGTGCTGGCCTACTGAGTTCACATTTCTGCTGTCTCAGCAATGTGGCCTTGTGTTGCACTGTAGTAACAGAATAGGGTGAAAGGTTTCTGCTTTTCTTATTTCTGTGGATTTTGGGGGTTGTAAGGCTCCCTTTGTTTAATCTGGTATTTAGACCTTTCCAGCTTATTAATGCACAGTGCAGCCACAGAGCATGACGCTGACTTTGAAAAGCATCTAGCATGCCTTGGGTCTGGATTTCTAGTTTTGTGTATTTAATGTCAGTCAGTGCATGCTACATAGTTTTAATATAGAATTTGAGAATTGTACCTTAAATGTGATAAATTCAAAGAGCTTGCCGGAGCCTCGTGAAACATGGACTTGTGAAACCTGTCGCCAGCTTCTCCTTCCACACACAGTGCAGCAAGAGCTGGTCGGGCTGTGGGAACTGTGAGTGGTGTGTGGTAGACAGGGAGGCATGAGACATGGCACAGGGACCAGGCCACCCATATTTTTGTGGTGTTTTATGTTGGGGATCATAATGAGTAACTTCAGATTTGTTAATACTGCGTGCATTTTCTAAGTTGGTTTGAAATCTTCTGAAGTGCCTCCCACTCAGGCTGCTTTGTCCTGTAAAGTTGGTAAAAGTAGCGCTAATTTCTTTTATACTCTTTCTTAATGATAACATTTTAATGGTTTTCAAGGAGATAGTTGAAAATTCTACAGAGAAATTCTGGTTACTTTTTTTTCTTTTTTGAGGAGAAATGACTCCAGTAGTGCTGTCCTGGAGTTTTGGTCCATTTTGTATTCATTGGCAGGCTTTTGTCCAGCTGGCTTTAAAGAACTGCAGCAGGGAGCTTTCCCAAAAATGAGGCACAAAGAAATGTTTCGTCAGCCCTCTAGACTTTCCTTAAAAACAGGACTAATGGTGCTTATTAAAACGATGTGTATTGCAAATGCTTACAATTGACAGTGACCTAAAGCCTTATTTCCTAATAGTTCTGTATTTCAAGATGAAGTTGATTCGTGTCTCTTAAAGTAACCCTCTCCTTTGTGTATTTCCAGCCAGGGCTGCCATGGTTCAGGGTCTTTGCCTGGGTTAACCTGCTCAGTCTGAGTGTTAAGTTCCTGATGTGCTATACTCATAGTGAGCGCTCAAAAAGGCCTTTCCAGTGCAGGCTGCAGGCTGTGTTCTGTGTGTTGTCTTCAGCCCTGACTGCTTTCTACCCGGGCTGTGGAGTACTCTGAGCTTAATTCATGTGGCTAGCTCAGCTTCCTCAGGAAACTCCCTGGCCAAGACCCTGGAGTCATCATGTGCTGTTTTTAAGGTTTTGCAGAACTTTGCCTCAGAAGACGATGTCACATGTGCCTGTTCCACTGTGTCCCACTGTCCTCAGGGCTACCACTAGGTTTGTCTTCTAGACACAGCTTCTGGAGGAGGGTGCATCTGCCCACAGTCGACCTGGCTACCTGCCATGGTGTTGTCACATTTCTGAATAACCTGTTGTCTCATCAGATGCAAGAGGAAAGTGTAGGGTGCAAAGTAGGAGGCGATCAGCTGAGAAAGCGCAGGCAGAGGAAAATGGGGCAGAGGCTCCCCACTGACAAGCCCAGCCTGCCACCCAGAGCTCTTTGTTTTCTGAGTGTCCAGTGTTGTGTCATCCAGGGAGTGGAGTTGAAACCCAGCCAAAGGCGAGAAGCAGCTCTAAGTGCAGCTTGCCAGGACGACCTGCACAGCCTCCCGTGGCCGTGGTAGCAGTCGGACCACTCATGCCTGTCTGTGCGATGTTCATTTGCCATCTCCTAAAGGATGATTTTAATGAAGTGTCTGTGTTTGCAGCTCATCTTTGATGACTTTCTTTGGCTTAAGGGTTGATGAATTTATATCCTGAAAATATCTTGAACTAGAAGAGCTAACTTTTACTCTGCTCCTCTAAATAATAATTTGATCTTTTCCGTTTAAATCTTACAACATTATTATTGGAAACTCCTTTGGTATCACTTCCGAAGTCTTCCTGTTATGGATGTCCATATTCAAACACTTGAGCTTTTTAGATTATGTTAATATGGAAAAGTAGTAGACTCACAAGCAGACTAAACTATTTTAAAGTATTTTAATTTTATGTTTTTAATTTTACATGTGTTTTTGTGTGCATGTGTTTGTATGAGCACACATGCATGCCATGGCACACATGTAAGGTCAGAGAGCATCTCTCAGGAGTTGTTTAACTTCTTCCACCATGTAGGTCCTTGGCATCAAACTCAGTTTGTCAGCCTCAGCAGCAAGTGCTTTCCCACGGTGAGCTGTTGCACAGCCCCATACATATGCTCTTCTTGTCATTTATTTTGTTGGGCATCTACTATGTGACGAATTCTACTCTTGATAGAGGATGCCCTGAAAATAAACTAGGTGGGTTAAAGCTGTCTCCCATAAGAGGCAGATGTGCTAGCACCTGGCCTTGTGGTATCTGTTAACTTCTTCTACATGCACTGAGCTGGGAACCTCATCTGTGATACTGCAGTGTCAGAGTAGATAAAGGATGCCACTGAGTTAGAACGTTTTGCTATTCAGTAACGCTCAGGGAAGTGACCATGTGATCCTCAGACTGGTTTGTCATCCTTCAAGGGTGGCTTTCTTCAAGATTCATAGGTTCTCTTCACTTGTGTATCCCCCATTTATGTTACTTACACTTTAGTTTAGAAGCTCAAATAAGTACAAATTCTGTTTTGCTGGCATTCATTTTTTTTTTAACTTTAGAATGATTAAATCTGCTTTTGAGTCTCTTACTTTCCCACATAATTATGCTTCAGAATATTCAATCAGAACAATTTACTGTTTTTATTTCACTTAGAATAAAAATTAAGTAATTTTCATCAATTTAAAACAAATCAAGAAGTCCATCATCACTGCATGAATTTTATGCTATTTGTAACAATTTGTTTTTAACAAAAAGAGCTTTTATGAATGTGTTCAGCATTAAATGTTTCTAAAAATGTGGCTGTTTTCCAAATACCACAGATAGTTTAAAATCTTTTCTTCAGGAGATTTGTGAAATGGAGTCATTGGTTAGCTTAGAAGGGTATTGAAATCAATGTTTGTGATCGATCTTCCAAACCACTCTTCAATGCTTGCTTTGCTTTCTTTTTTTCCCAGTTGTTTCTTCTCTGAAAGTTTAGAATCTGACAGCACAAGGCAAACTAAGTTTTTATTTCAGCGGGTTGGTGCTGCATGAGAAAGCTGGTCACATTGGTGGTGTACACGATGGCATGTGTACAGTCCAGCATGCATTTCACTCTGCTTTGTGTGTACAGAAAATTCACTACCTCACTTTCCCTTTGGCACCGTGGGTATGTACAGTTTTATTTAAACTGTAGTTTTATTTTGCATATACGTGTGATAGCTTGTCTGCATACAAGTAGGTGGCTTCGGCATTGAGGATGCTGCATTGAGTCCCGAGAGACTGAACTGGTTGGGAACCACTTGGGGTGGGTGCTGAACCCAGGTCCTCACTAAGAGCAAATTCTTCTACCTGAGCTGTCTCTCTCATCCCCTCTACTGGGGATTGCTGCACAGTGATAAGTTGGGAAATATCCTGAGAATTTGTTATGGAATTTATTTACCCCGTGAAATTGGATCCTTGCTATTGTACATGTCACAGCACTGATATTCTGCTTACCCAACAAGCAGCTCAGCCTAGTGGACATCTGAGGCTTGTTTAGGAGTGGGTGGAGCTTGCCCAGGATCAAAACCAGTGGCCAAGATTTTGTTCAATTTGAGTGTTGTATGTACAACTGGAGGGCTTGAAGAATATTGTAGCCGCCCGTTCTGCCTCACGTTCTGGGGGCCACTTTGTAACGGCCCGTTCTGCTGCTCCGGTCTGCGGGTCAGGGCCTAGCAAGAGAGAGAGTGGGGACAGAGACGCGAAGAATGGAGACAAGACAGGGAGTCTGGTCAAGTCTCTTCAAGTCTCTTTATTGGAAGGAAATCCTGGGTATTTATACCCTTTTCCACGTGCCTTGCCCTCATGGACAAGCACAGCTGAAGGCACTGCGTCATGTGCCTTGCAGCGTGGATATCACGTGCACCTAGCTAGCAGTGAGGAGACCACGTGCACCCAGCAGCGTGGAGACCACGTGTGCCCAGCAGCTGGTGACACTAAACAGCAAAACAAGATATGTGAGAAAAACAAGATGTTTATCAGAGTGTGCTCAGCTGTCTCGGGCTGTTGAAAACAAGTCTTTTGTCAGGGTATATGGCCTGAGATGGCTGCAAAGATGATAGCCACTTTCGGCTAGGAGTCGGCTCCCAACAGAATACCATAAAAATACCCACTGAAATAAAAAGCAGAAATAAACAGCAGAATAATCTATAGGTTTTGTTCATAACTAGCTGAGAGAATTTAACCAGGGGTGGGAGGTGGGGAAGAGGGGATGAAAATGAAGCCATTGGAAAGATGGAAAAGGAAGTGTTTCTACCAGTCCAAGCAAGCCAGAGTAGATAGCATGGCACAGCCCTTGAACCCGACCCCTGCTAAGGAGTGAGAGCACGGTTTCTCTTCAGATATTCTAAATCTTTAACACACACTTCCTTGTTGGTGTACCTGCCTTTGATGTACACACAATCTTCTGAACTTGGCAGCTTGTCCCAGCTTCCTCTCTTGCTTGTTCTAAGTCAGTACCTCTTGCTGAGGCTTTACTCTATGGTCCTGCATGTGCCAGCCCTTTCCACAGAAGAGTATTGTCCCATGCAGATGTGGTCATGCCTGAAACACCTCAGTCTTTCTGCCACTCCACCTGCCACTTGCAGACGGAGGACAGAGGGTCATTCTCTGGGCTGTGCTTGATGTGAGCTGAGACTGTCCCCATAGCACTTCTAACACACACGGATCCTTTCCTGTCTTCCGACTTCCGAGTACGTGACACATGCTCATTTCTTACCTGCTGTGTTCTTTTTGTGCTGACAGAGAGAGAGATGACTTAATGTCTGTGCTAGTTTCTGTGCGGAGCAGCTTGGCAGAAGTGCAGGAGAGAGAGACAAGTGCCTATAAACAAGTGAAGCATGCTGTGCAGATGACCGAGGAAGCCAACTTTGAAAAGACCAAGGCAAGTGCAATGGCTAGAGACGGATATGACACACAGCCACTTTCCACGGGTATATTTCTCTGATTATTTCATAACTAAACTAATGCCAAACACACAAAACGATGCCAGTCCACAAATGTTGATTTCTCTAAATTAAAAAATAAAATAAAAGCTTACTATTTGGAGAATGTTATTCTGTAAATGCTTCTGTTCTGCCACTTCTTCGAGAGTGTAGAACAATATGGGGAAGTGCTTTGGGAGCCCTGTGTGCATGATCCTCTTGTTTACAGATAGTTTTACTGAGTACAGGTATGTACATCACTACAGGCAGGTTCTGCATGTGTTAGTCTAGCTTGACTTCTGGCCCCAAGAACCTCTCAAGAGGAATGCCCATGGCAGGTTTCCACCGCCAGCACCTCTGCTCCACCTCCCTTGTCAGGAGGGACCAAAAGGGAGCCGAAGCTAGCCCTTACCCACTGAGATCTACCCATCAGGTCCCTCAGCTGGAGAGAGTGCTGACGCAGTACCTTTGACTCTGCATCTTCCCTCTCTCTGGTCACTTCTTTCTTTATCATCTCCTTCTCCAAAGCCCTTTGTTCTTGCTGACAGGCAAGCTCCTTTTCCAGTCTTTCTGTCTGCCTCTCCAGCTCACTCTTCAGCTGCTCACACTGGATCAAAGCCTGCAAGCAAGAGAGTGAGAAGGGATGTCAGGAGCGGGAAGGCATGCCAGGGAGAAATGAGGCAACTGTATCTTCTTTTAACTAGAATAGTTAAAACCCATTCAACAGATCTTGAATGCTATATTTTATTATATACCGACACTTATTATTAATAAATTCCCTTACTATCACTTAAAATTTAGTTCACTCCCACTGAATAGAAAACTACCTCCTGTTATCAGGATGGACATTTTATAATGCCAGTAAAAGTTCATAATTTGAAAACCACAATTTTCCTTGAGCCAAAATTTCCTGTTATGTGTTTTCAGAAATAAAACCTCTCCCACTACCATCATGTATAGCATCCAACAATACACTAGGATTTCAAAGTTACAATTGAAAAGCCTCAGTGAAACTAAGAAGCCTTGGGCATCTTGGTCTTGTTCAAGTTATCTGTACCTGCAACCTCTGCCTCACCCAACCTTGATTGCCTGTCATTTTGGTGTTGTCTGTCCAGGTAACGTTCGTATCCCCTGTGGGCAGGTGCAGCCCGGCTGTGTGCTCGCTCCGGTGCAGCCTGGCTGTGGTTCTGCGCTTTCTAGCTTGTGTTCATATTGAATGGCTCACTTCCTCATTACTGTCCAGATGTCTCATTTTGTCTTCATCCCATTCCCCGCACCCGGTGTCTTTGGAAGTGTGAGCTGTCCTGTCTTCATGGGAGTCTTCTTCCCTTGCTCAGCGGCCACTGTCTTCCTGTGGATCTTCTCTCTGTAGCTTTCTGAGCTACTCTTGGGTCTGCTTTACTAAACCCACATGTGACTTCCTGGTCCTATATGATACAGTACCCGATCTCTTAGGATTCATTCTTTCTAAACCCATGTCCACTGAACACGACATGAGACTTTTCCTGTCACTGGTCTCGCCGGAGTCACATCTGCTGTGAGCATCTTCTGCACTTTCCATCGACCGAGTCTTTGCTGTTGGCTTGCTCACTAATACTGTCTCCTCACCAGCAGCTCTCGCTTCTGGCATCACTAATACTGTCTCCTCACCAGCAGCTCTCGCTTCTGGCATTTACAGCATCTTCAGCCCTTCCCCACTATTCACCATGACTCCAGTCACTTGCCATGCACTGTTTCTCTGTAGAGTCCCCTGTGCACCCACAGTTGTCATCCCACGCTGCTGTACTCTTACACCATGCATGCAGACTCCTGACTGCTCTCCGGGGTCCCCCCAGTTCCAGTGTGTCCTTTCCACTGTCGTAGGTTTTCTGAATTGTCAATATCCCCCTAAGAATCCCTCTATTGAAGTATAGTAAGAGGAAATTCTTCAGCATGGCCTCTCTCCAGAGTTTCCGAGCATTGTCTTTCACTACACTCTTTTGTGCAGATCCACAATGTGAATTATAACTGAGCATTTTCCTGAGCTCTCTGAGCCAGTGCCAGCTACTAGGTACCTGTCATAGATGGCATACTTGTTCCTCAGAGGAGGCGCAGTTCAGGTGGCAGTCTTTGTACACATCCCCTGTTTCCTGTCTGAATGAATCTCTGCTCCCCTGAACTCCACTGTTGTTACAAAGTCTCTGTAGCCGTCCCCACTGAGGGACTATATGTGTAACACTGTGTTTCTCATGTACCATTTGCATAATTCAACAGCTAATGCTTGTTGAAGGGAAATTAGTAATTTTAAAAATAAATGTGATATTTGATAACTAGTAATTTTTTAAACTGATGGTTGAGAATTAGCAAGACCATGGTGCCAGCCCAGCCGTCCTCAGAAAGGCTTTCTCTGGAAGCTGAGGGGACCATGGTGCAGAGACCCACAGCTACACATTAGAGATAGCCCCAATTGCAGATCTCCATCAGGTTCCCTACCCTCATAGCTCAGGGAACCCCATGGAAGAGCAGGACGAAGAATTGTAGGAGTCAGAGGGGTAGGGGACACCAGGAGAACACGGCCCACAGACTCAGCTTACATGACTTACAAGGCCTGACAGACTGAAGTGCTGGTCATGGAGCCTTCGAGGTTCTGCTCTAGGTCCTTGGCAAATATGTTACGGTTGTTTAGCTTAGAGTTTTTGTGGGACTGTCAGTGAGAGTCACTAAGTCTTTTGCCTGCTCTTGGGATCCTTTTCCTCCTGCAGGGTTGCCTCATCCTGCCTTGGTATGAGGGTTTGCAACCAGCTGTACTGTAGCTTGTTATGCCTTGTCCAGTTGATATCCCTGGGAGGCCTCCTCTTTTCTGAAGGAAAAAGGAGGAGAAAAGGATTTGTGTCAGAGGGGAAGTGGAGACAGAAATTGGTGGGGGGAGGGAACTGTGGCTGAGATGTGTGAATATATGAGAGAATATTAAAAAGGAAGAAGAATGTGCGAGGCAGGCATTGTGTGCTGTGCACCTGGCATTCACAATGAGTTGAAATGTGGCTAACATGATGTTAAAGTCTGTGAGTTTTCACCTAAAGTTCTGATAAGACATATGAATTTTGCTTAGGAGGAGTATTAAAAGGTAGTGAGTGTGGATATTTTCAGTTTAGAAGTACTTTTTAATGCTAGGTAGTTGCTTGGCATTTGGTGCCACCTAGTGGTCACTGTTTGTATTGCATGCAAAGTAGAAGGCATTGCTTTATGGCACTATTTACATTTCTAGTGGCTGTGAAAGTACCTGACCTGTTTGTAAGAAATCAAATATCAGGAATGAGAAGACTGTAATGTTGTTTTCGGGTATTGGTGTGGAGATGCTATCCAGCAACGGTCTATGTCCCACTCCCTAGATCTGTGGTTTGGACAAAGCCGTATTTTTTCAATACAAACTGAAACCATCCTGATGAACTTAGTGAAGTGACTCTGTGCTAGCCACTTAGGAAACTTTTAGTGCATAGCGAGAGTTTGGTGGAGGGTTTTACTTGGAAAGTGTAACTTACTACAGCTGGAGATGACTTTTAAAGAGAAGAGGTAAAATCTGGGAATAAATGAGGGTAGAATGTGTTGATGAAATTCAAGAAGCAGAGAGCAGAGGTTCCTAGGCCGCCTGCCTGCCTGCCTGACTGTCTCAGGAGCGAAGTGGCTGAGTGATGTGTGCAAGCATGGGCTTAGAGAAGCCGCTGAGCACGTGAGAAACGAAAGAACATTCTGAGGAAGATTTTCTTTACAAATGGCAACATGGAAGGTTCAGTATGTTTTTAAATGTTTTTTAATGTTTTTAAATAATGTTTTTAAAAATGTTTCTCTTTTATTCTATGTTTTGGATTTTGATAGAATCAAAAAAGCAGGAATAAGAAATTTGGAGTGGAAAAGAAACCAGAAAAGCATTGAGCACTGGACTCCCCTCGTGGGTGTGGAAGTCATGCTCTTTGCATCAGAGTGCCTAGTGCAAAACAAAAACAAGCTGTGAGTGCAGAGAATTCCCTCACCCAGTGGCACTGCCATCTGAGCAGGCATGCGTGTGGTGATGCTGGGATCAGTACTACTGTTGCATCAGAATGTGACATATGTGGTTTTTTATTATATATAACTCTCAGTGATAAAAAGCAACTGTGTTATTGGCTTTCGTGTGTGTTGTATTGTTTATCATTATTTTAGACTGTATTTCTTCTGTGTGTGAGTATGCACGCGTGTGTGTGCGTGTGTGTGTGTGTGTGTGTGTGTCTGTGTGTGCAGGATCACACAAGCAGTGGCAGCATTCACTTCATATTTAGTGTGTCTCCTAATAGCTTCAGAGTCGGTGACATGACCTACATCATTTAGGCTTATGTACGTGTAAAATTATATAGTATGCATTTCTCAGAACATGGTAATTAAGTGATACATGACTATGCAAATAGTCTTTTTGTAGGCTTATTGATGAGTTTCTGGTAAGCAAGCATTTATAAATTAAAATCAATACCGCGTTTTATTCATAAGTTAGAATCTTAAATGTATTGATAATCATTTTTATTTAATGGACTTTGTTTCAGAAAAATAAATTTATAAGTTTTAAATTTTATGTTCACTAACAGTAAATAATAAATCACCAATATATTAATTTATTATTCATGAGTCTTTTGCTGGAATTTCTAGGAAACTATAACAGTTGGGAGGGAGATTAGAGATGCCATAAAATAAGTTTCCTGGTTTAAAACTTCAGTTGACAGATGTCAGTTTTGTTGTGGAAAATGTTTGACTTCTTTATGATAGTAATTTTTATCCTTTGGCTTAATAAAGCTAGAAATAGAAATACGAAGCCCAGTAAGTTATGTTTTGAAATAAATGTTGATAGGAGCAGCATGAAATGACTGCCAAGGAAGAAACACGAGTGGAACCCACTGGCATGGGAAAGCATAGGTTTTCAGATCCTCAAGGCTGGTGGCCATTTTCACCAAGTAAG